TTATAATATCATAATTATAACATATTCACTCTTTACATTATTTACAATAACTCATTCAATTACATGACTTACCACACCTTATTATTCGGAACTTTTGTACCTTATTTTTTATTTTTTTTGTATTTATTCCTTGATATTAGGCAATTATATTGAATTATAACTAATTTAGAATCAAATTAAGTTACATCACATATTAAAAAAGCCTTCTCAATATTTATATTTTTATTCACAAAATTTAAATTTAAATTTTAAAAAAAAAAAAAAAAAAACTAAATTTCTTTCTTTCAACCAGCAAATCATCATGGATATACCTTATTTCATTACTCATTCTGTAATCGGCCGCGCCACTCGCGGTTCCGCCTTTCCCGCAGCTAATTTGAGGCCAGTTGACCTTAACTGACACGTGTATTCCGTATACATAGGTTCTTCTTGTTCCTTGGATTGGATATATGCTTAAATTAAATGAGCCCAGTGTCTAAGATTCCAAGTATATTTCGTGCAAATATGATCCAGGTGCTGGACTGGGCTTTTCTAACCATGGCTTCTAGGTATTAAATAAACAATTAAAACAAACTGTAATGGGCTTAAATGATCCATACTCCATCTTACAGGCTCAACTCAAGTCCAAGAGAGACCAATAAGAGCCCTCGTTTAGGCCTTTAAAACTATTCTTGCACATTTAGATTGGGCATTCTTGCGCAACTAATGGTTGTTTTTTTATTTTAAATTAATTATTATTTTTTTATTTTTATATTCAATACTTAAGGCATGCTTGCACTTGGCTCTTGCAGCCTAATGCGCAATAGCCACCCCGGTGCATTCCCCCTTCCTCAGGCTAGGTTCGAATCCTGCCCTTTGCAAATATGTTAAAAAAAAAAAAAAAAAACTTAAGGCATGCTTAAATTTTTTTTTCTTTTACCTTAATTACACAATAGAAAGCAATTATCTTTTATTTCTTATCTCATTCCACCCACATACCATGTGAGTCGAATTTAAAATCTTTTATTTCTAATGAAAAAAAATAATTACTGTTTAAATTCTTTTTTTTGTTTTTTGGGGTAATATGTCTAATTTGGAAAATTAGAATCAGGCTCTCTCTTTTTTAAGCTAAAGTAGTGCATACACTCGAACTTACACCAAATTTACAATTTGGAAAATCAGAACCAATCTCTCTCTATTTTTGCTAAAAGAACACTGAAATCTTACAGCTGAAAAAGTGTAATTTGACCTCCACACATAATGTAATTTTACAGCTGAAATCTTTGGCATTAAGGAGTTGTTACCGGCTATCTTGATCCGAATCTACAGCTGCATGACCTCCTCACAGGAGTCAGTTTTGCCTCCGGTGGCACTGGATATGATCCTCTCACAGCTCAAATGGCAGTATGCATACACACTCTATAACACAAGGAAGCTTAAAATTGTAAATTTTAATAATAGCTGAATTAGTAACTGTTGATTGATGTGTTAAATTAAAAGATTTACTAGTCAATTTTTTAGTATAATTTAAGAATACATCTTTTACATATTATAAATCAATTCATTATGGATGTTTTACCTTCCTTACATTTCATCTCCCCACTTAATCATGCCTCTACATGCTTTACATGATGGTGAAAAACTAATCCCCCACTTTTTCATGCATCTAATGGTGATTAACTCTTATTTAAGAATAATTAACACACCACTTTTTAATGCAATTAGAGTGGTGCTAATGACTTAATTTTTAACTCCTCCATCAATAGAATGATTAATTCTTATAACTTTTCATTTAGTGGGTATTTAATCTTTGTAACCCCTACATATCACCCACTAATTAACACCTATATATAGAACTTGTACACTTGCATATATATGATGAAGAAAAGGATAAAAATATAATATAATATATATATATATATATATATATATATATATCTTTGCATTGCCTAATTGTCTCTCTAATTTTTCTTCTTTTAATTGTTTCTTTCTTTATTTTACAACACACCCCTCCCTTTTTTCTTTTTTTTTTGAGCCTTTACTAACATTTGATATATATATATATATTTGCTAAGTTCCAACTTATATTTTTCTGCTATCACTTGTTCCCTTTATTGTCAGTCTGTTTTATCATTCTCGGATCAACTGAGGCTATTCAAGGAATACAAGGAAAGGATAAAGTTAGCCATGGGCGAAGAGAAAACCACCGAGTTTCTTTCAAAAGCCCTATTCATGGTTTACGCAGGAAGTAACGACATTACTGTCACTTACTTTATCACTCCATTCAGGAAAGTGATATTTAACATTGATTCCTACACTGATTTTATGACAAGCTTAGCCTCACAATTTTTCAATGTACATGTACATATGAATTTATCATCTTTTATCTAAAACAAATAGAAAAATCATTATTTTATAGTTCAAATTATACAAAATTGTAAAATAGAAACCTTTAATTGAGTGGAGGACTCCCAATATGAAGAATTCTGATCTTCATTTAAGGATTCATGTATGTTTTACAGTTTAATATAAATCAAACTCCAAAACAGTTTTCCAAAGAAGATATCAATTGCGTTAAGTATGTGAATTTCATTAAATTTACGTGGGAACTATGTTCAGGAGCTTTATGAGCTAGGAGCGAGGAGAATTGCGGTTATTGGTGTGCCATCAATCGGGTGTGTACCGTCACAAAGAACGCTGAAAGGAGACAAAGCAAGAAACTGTGCAGAGGATATCAACCATGCTGCATCACTCTTCAACTCAAAGCTCTCAAACCAAGTGGATTCTTTCAAGAAAAGTCTTCCAGGCCTTAAGGCCGTCTACTTTGATGCCTACAATCCATTGCTCTCCATGATCCAAAACCCACAAAAATATGGTATATATATAATCTTTTTGGCATGTCACCTCAAAATATCACTTTAGAAATCTTCTCTTCTGTTGTTGATTTGTTGTCTTTGGATTCAGGTTTTGAAGAGGTAAACAAAGGTTGCTGTGGCGCAGGCGATATAGAAGTGGGCATACTGTGTAATCCTCTCAGCAAAACCTCCAACGACGATTCTTCAAAATTCATTTTCTGGGACAGCTTCCATCCCACAGAGGCAGCTTACAAGATCCTTTCCTCTAAGATCCTTACTCGGCACCTCGATGAGCTTCTCTGATTTCAGGAATTTTTACAGCTACAAATTTACAAATTTTTATTGAATTGACATGCAAATAGGCGACACTGCCACCACTAATAACATATCATCCTTTTTATTCTTCTTCCTTTCTCTTCCAATGCTATCTTTGAAAGAACTTTCCTCTCAAATAAATAACTTTATGAAATGGGGAAAAAATTGCAGCTCCAAACCAAACAGGGAGCGTACAAAAGTGTGAGAAATGGAATTCCATATTTTTTTCATTTAAAGATTCTAACTTCTTGTATTGAGGAATCAAAAATGTTATTTATTCAAATTTTTTAAAGAAAAAAGTTATTGAATGTGCAAGCCGACAATATAATTGAGGTCTTAAAATTTTATTAAACTCAAATAAGATTTTAAACTCGTTAAAATTCTCAGTCCCAATTAAATGGAATTTTAAACATTTGTCCATCTCACATAATGTCATTATGGCCTATTATTTCCCTTACTACTTGCCACGCCAAGTTGGACAAATTTGTTTTGGATAGTGCAAGTTGGACAAATTTGTTAACTAGTTGATTTTAATTATTACGTGGGACTCACTTTAGGCATTTTGAAAAAATAAAACTTCATGACCTTATTGAGCGCAATGCAACTTTGGACCTCAACTGTGAATTAATATATTTAGTGAAAGCCTAAGACCTTATTTAATACTTAAGCCACACCAAAATTCCTATTTCATTTTTGAGTAATACGGTCTAATCTAGCAAGTCAAAACCATACTCTTTTTTCCTTTTTTTGATAAAAGAATCATACTTTTGCTATAGGGGATATTATAGAAGCTAAGCAGAATTATAGTGTTTAAAATTCCATCAAATTGGGGTTTTATTTTAGAATTTATATAGTTTTAAAATCTTATTTAAACGTAATAAAACTTTTAAATTTTAATTGAATTTGGCTAAAACTTGGTACCTTATTCCATATTGAATTCATGTCAAAATTCTTATTTCCTTTTTGGATAATTCGTCTAATTTGGAATTTTGGAATCATAATTTTGCTATACTTGACATTATAACCAAGCAGCATCCCAGAGTTAAGGGAAGGGATTTCATTGCATTATAGGACCAATAATTAGTGTTATCCACTTTTTCCTTCATATAAATTGGATGAACAAAGCAAAACTCAATTCATGTGCACATCAGTACCTCTCAATTTAAACAAAAATATACTACTTTAAAACATGTTTCTATCCCAAAAACAAATCCCATTCTCCACTTCTTTAGCCAATTTATTACTTTCCATTTTTTAGCTCTAGCTACACCTCGATCTCGATGAGCTTCTCTGATTTCAAGAGTTTTTACAGTTACAAATTTACACTTGTATATAAACATTCTTTGGCTCTGTTTCTTATTGAATTGAAATTGGAATGTAGGTAAAACTGCCACCACTAAAATACTTATATTGTCTCCTCTTCATTTTCTTACAATGTCATCTGCATTTCGAAAATAGATATCTTTAATAAACGGAGTCATAAGAAAGGCTTTGGAGGATTCATTTAGTAAACTTTTAAGGGAAACTCTAATTGATATCACATTGCTGGTCATAATGCAGTTACCAGGACTAAGATCCCACAGAGCTAATTGATCAAAGATTCTCAGCAAAGAAGAGAGCAGTACAGGAGTGCCTGTAATCTACTAAATCTACTAGTCTTTTGTGAAGAAAGCAAACCACAATTCATTCAAACATATATGGAAGATATACAAGTAACCAGTTCCAGATATACTACTATTGCTAAGCGACCATCATTATCTTTGAATCCCTAATGCAGATAGGATTCATATAAAATTCCATATCATATGACATTGCCACAGCAAAGCTACAAAATTGCATACTGCCTATCTACCTACAATACCTATATGGATGAGATTCTTGAGAAACGGACTATAGACAGGGACATGAGGAATGGGATGGACAATTATAAACGAAATCAGAGAAGCTTATTCTGAGCAACAGCCTGGCACAACTCATCCTCATAGAATAGCACCCGATTGGAAGCAACAGATTTGCATAAGGGCTTTGAGAGAACAGAAGGAACCATACACCTAGATTGGAATGCAGGATCTTGAAATAGTTTAGCAGAAACTTGCCGCAACTCAGTGGCTTTAAGACGAGAAGGCGGCCTTGGACCATGCCTTGGAGCTTTAGGAGTATGTGGGCTAGAAATGAAAATACCATCCCCATCACCCTTTCTGCAAATGATATAAAGAAAATTATTAGAAAAGCCTACTTATATTCAGTTTCATAAAAAGTTTAGGGAAGAACTAAAAGCTTTTGATATCTACCTCACAAACGGCCAGTGCTCAGTTGGCTGTGGTGTCATTATTCTCAACATCTCCTGTCTTGAGCGATCTGGGGTTGTGTAATTAAAGTGAAATTGCCTTGCAATGCAAACCTTCAGCCAGAAAATATAAACCAGTTATGGCAACAAATACACAGACAGACCAAGCAACAGGCGCAGACTCAGTAAGAGACTTACAGCCTTTCGTATTTTCTGAGAAACATGAAAAACAGCCCTCAGCTGGTCATGGTGCAAGTGACAAAGTATTTTCACCTAAATACACCAAAACAAAATTAGTCTCAGTTTTCAGAAAAAAGAAAAACAACAAACATCAGATTAACACAACAAAAAATCATAGTCATGAGTTATATATATATATATATAACCAGGAAGAAAAAAAGTGTTGGCTGGTATAATTTATTGGTCAGAAAACTATATAACAGTTTTTTTGACAGAAAAATGGTAATCAATTTTATCTAGTTAAAATAAGCACTGTTCAATATCTTTTACATTCCCTCAACCATTTTGTTTGGTCTCTCAGAAACAATGCCAGACTACCACAATGACAAATTAATTCACATAAATAGACAACTCCTATGGAAGTTAAATGTAAATATCAATACCTTTATGAACACCCCCCCCCCCTCTAGAGATAAACAAACAACAAAAATAATAATCAACTGTGCAAGTCGCCAATCATAAGAGGCCATCTATGAGCAAAGAGCACACTATGTATCTATAAAATCACTAGAATGTGTAGTCTGCAGCATATTTGGTTCAAAATCAAATTTATACTTCATATAGCGACAACTGAAGATTAAATCCTAGGTAAAATTATAACTCCAAACCAAACAGGTAATGATAAAAAAAAAAGAAAAAAAAAGAAGGTACCAGTAAATCCATAGGAAGAGACTCAAGCCGTGACTCCGATTCAAAGTCATCAAATCGAGGTGTCTTTGGTGTTCTCACCAAACCATTTTGTTTACACAAATTCACCGGTGACAACATCATAGGGCTTTTGTCAATAGCTTTACTGTCAGACAGAACATCATCGTTTTCCTCTGCCTTCTTTCCTCCTAATACGGCCACCCTTTTCTTCCCAAGATCAGTACACAACTTCGCAGCCGCCGCTGCTGCCACCTTACCATACCAAGGCTGAGCAAGAGCACTCGGTTTCAGGTACTTATTTGAACTCTTCAATCTCCTTTTCTGTTTAGAACTTTTCGATCGCCTCTCCTTTAGAGTCACTTTCCCCATTATTTCCAACAGCTCACTTTTCCCCTAATGTCCAAGATTGTTGCTTTCCTCCTCTACAGTAACAACTTTTAGTTTACCCCCTTTTCTTTCATCCAATTCCAGATAAATAAAGCTCAAACAGCCATCAAATTAAACCTGAAAATGGAGTTACAAAATTAGCACTCTCTCAACTCAAAACACAGGGAGTGGAAATCCAAAGGGACGAAAAGCACAAAAGAAAAAGAGCAATCCAATTGAATAAAATTCTATTTGAACTAATCACCGAATATATAAATGAAAATTAAATGGCTTCCATTTCAACAGAAAACAAATCAAACCCAGCTCGACCAGACATCAAACCCTAGAAATCATGAGAAAGTGGAGAAAACAGACGTTACGAACCTCAAAATTAACAGAGATTTCAGCGCGAAAAACCCTAGAAATCCACAGGGAAGAGAGAGGTCGAGGAAGAAAGAGAAATGGAGAAGACTGGTTTCAGAGAGAAGGCGGTGACGAAGAAAGAAAGGGAAGAAATTTGGGAGAGGGAGAGGGAGAGGGGGGGGGGGCCGCTAGGGTTTGGTCTTTATTTGAAATGAAAATTCATTCTGATTGCCCCGCCAAAATTTTCAACTACAGGAACCGTAGAAAACGAGATATATCGTGTCAGTCTAGGTGTGAGCGAACGTGGCGCGTCGGGATTGGTGGTGTGGAGGTGGTGGTGGGCCTGTTGATAATAAACTTTATTATTGCTTAGGTCACGAAGTCACGTTGGACGGCGGAGATTGCGTGCGTGTGAATAGCAGATTAGATTTGGGTTTTCCTTAATTAAAGGAGATTATTTAAAATTTCATTTTGTAAAATTCAAAAATATTTGAGGGAAATTTCAAAAAATTAATTTATAACATTATATATATCTATATATTTATTTAGTATTACATTAAACTCATTTAATATGAAATTATAAAAGTGATGATATAAAGACAATTTTTTTTATTTCTATATAACTTTCATATATTCTTAAATAAATTGATACATTTAATATCACGAATCTTAAATAAATAAAAAAATTAATCATGACACTAAGGTTATAAAAAAATAAAAATACTATTCTTGAATTATTTTTTATATTACAATTATAAATTGAGATTAGTGTATATCAGTTTCAACTTTTAAAAATAATTAAAATCTTAATTTACATATAAAAACTAAAATCCTATCTTATATTAATATCTAAATTTAAAAAGGGGATAATACTTGTCTGTTTTATATTTAAAAAATTAAGAGAAAAATTAACAAAAAACACACCTTAATTCATATTTTAAAATAAAATATTTTAATTATTTTCAATAAATATTTATTAAAATGACGTAATTTTAAAATAATATTTCTTTTAATTTTTAGAATGTAATATAGATAAACATTATTTTTATTTAAAAATCGTTATATATTTTAATAAATTAATATTTAATATGATAATTTTTTAAATTTTAAATTAAATTTTAATTCAATATTAAAATTCTAATTATTTTTAAAAATAAGAACTCACGTCCACTTTTTCCTTGTAAATTTATTTTTTTTTATGGAATATATTTGTAACATATTAAATAAATTATTCTTAATCTCTGGAATATTTGATAATCTGCACCCTCTGATAGGATTAGATCGGGAATCTAAACCGAATCCAATGAATATTTTTACTTTTAAAATTGGTAATATTTTTTGGGTTAAATTCTTTTTCTTAAGAAAGTTAAAGGCGGCGGGCCCTTCATCAGACCCTCCTTATGATACAATAAATGACCGTAAGGACAATTAAATCCTTATCACGTGTGGTTAATTACGCGTGAGTGGCGCTTATCTTGACCTCCAGAATGGAGGGTATTCCAGTCCACCACTGTTGCTCTCTCTTATGAACCACATTATTGCAAAGGCTGCTCCCAAGTTTTTTTTTTTTCTTTTTTGTATATTTGATAAGAAGGAATCCTCCTTTAAATTTCTCCCATATTTATATTAATTATAATTTTATATTCATATTTAGATTATCAAATTCTTATGCTAAGACATTCATTTCTCTCATATTTATATTAATTACAATTTTAAATTCATATTTAGATTTTCAAATTCTTATTCTAAGACATTCAGTCGAGCACAACTCTCTACAGCTAAATAGCCATGTTGAGTTTTGATTCTTTTATAACATAATGGTTTGAAGCACCAATAAAAATTTAGTTTTGCTAATACTAATTAACTTAGAATTTTTTATTTGAAGTTAAAATTAAAATTTAAACCTTTATATTACTAAATAATTAACTCTTTAATATAACAATATATATATAGTTTGATGCATCATGCGTGATATGAATTGAGTCAATATTATTGTTTAAATTTTGAAAAAAATTAAATTGAGTGTAAAATATCAAAGCTTGTGGGGTCTAATTAGCTAAACATTAACATTATGTACATTAACTTCCAGTTATTCCTAGTCAAGAGAATCTAGATAAATCATAATGTCCCCTGTGTTGTGGAGCCATGATACAATTCCTTTTATTCACCCAAAGTCCTCGGAAAGTAGTTAGTTAATGATGATGTTTCCTTTTCATGGCCCCGTTTCTTTTACTTGGGAATCGACATTCCAACTAGCTAAAGTGCTAAACCTGGATTGGACCCAAAACCCATTATTCTTCAACTCACACTCACATAGTCACACTCACAGTGGACCAAGTTAAATTTGTAAATGGGCTTAGAAATTGGGCTAAGAATATTAATGGTTAGATTTTTGAGTCGTGTTGAGCCTCTTGGCAGTTGGCACATGATATTCTTTTGCCAATAGATTTGGATTGCAATAATTTCTTCACATGATCTCTTCCCATGTCTTCTTTTTCTTTTGCTTTTTCTTTTTATGTGATCGGCAGAGACTGCACAAAGAAGAAACCAAAGGGTGCATTCCCAAAGAAGATATGGAAATTGAGGATGGAAGAAGAAGAAGAAGAAGATGTCATTTTATTTCTCTCCAATTCACAAATGTTCAAGGTAAATCCAGATTGACATTTTATGCTTAACAATGGTTATACAAGCCCAATTTTTAAGATTATTGACAGACATTGTGTAAACATTGATGCACATTGAATTCAAACATCCATAAAGGTACTGAACCGAACTGAAGTTAGTTAAAAAAAACTGTGAGTGGACTGGAGGATAAACGTCCCTCTTAGAAACAGGGAGGGACAGGACAACCATGATGATAGGCACTAACTCTAGATAGGACCACCGAGTTGAGGTAATGTGGTTTCTTGGCTTGCCAAGAATGAGATACAACAATCCAACTTTTAACCTTCTTTCCTTCCCTCTTGTAATTGTTTGGATCAGCTTCCTCCGTATCTGAGGATAACCATTCCTCTTCTTTGGTCATGTTTGGGATGTCACTTTCTTATTTTTATTTACATGTCTTTAATTGAAGATACAGCTTTTTCAATAGTGACATGATTTTTTTTAGTACATTAGAGAGTTAATTATTTACTTAGTGTAACAAAAGTTTAAATCATTAATTTTGATCCTAAATCAAAGTTTGTTAATAAATGAATATCAATTTAGCTAAACTCTTATTAGCATAATGACACTTGATATATTCATGTAATTAAATTTTAAAGATCACATGTAATTTAAAGTTGAAAGAGACGTAGAACAATGGCATAATGCATTCATTAAAGAATCAAATTTTAGTCAATACATTCATAAAAAGAATCAAATTTTAGTCAATACATTACAAGACAACTATTTATGAGCCAACTTTAAATTGATTTTAAATAAAGACAAAATTTAGGCAAAAGAAATGTAAACTGATTCCAATTGAACATCTAGACTCTTATAAATTGATTATAAATCTATAATAGGATTTAATTCGTAAATTTGTCATGAAATATGATATGAATCATATATAATTTGTACTCATAAAAACTAAATGAATACATAACCAATAAGGTTTAAGCCAATTGATTATTGTTTTGATTCGTATTTTACTTGCAAGGTAAGGCAACAGTGGTTTTAGAGAGACAAAAAAAAGAAAAGAAAAGAAAAAAAAGAAGACTCAATTGATCGTGCAAAACAACATTTCAGCTGTGCTCCTTTTGATCATTTCCATGGTAAATGCCAAAAATGGACCACCCTTGCATCAGATGAAATGTAACAAATAAACAATTTAATGCCCTTATCTCCCTGGTTGGCTAGAAAAAATCTCCTTATCTCTCTCTCCCCTAAATTATCTCCTTTGCCAAATCTTACAAAAATGATGTCCAGACCCTCTTTTCAAAGTTGGTAGCCATATTGCCTCTTTCTGGATGTTTAGATTGATGATGGTAAATAGTGGGTTTGTTTGTTATCTAAATATTCATATTTCGTTTAGCGTAAGATTACTATAATTTTTTAAAACGTCAGGGTGAGAATCAAATCTCATAATTATCAAATTTATTATGAGAAATCATTTACGAAAAAGATGTGATTATTAGACCAAAAAACATTTTCAAGATTAATATAACTTTGTAAATTAAACAGCCATAGGTACATCTCATCTATACCGTATATCTTTTCTTCTCCATTGTAGCTTTTCCTGCGGGCTGCTGCTCTGTTTCGCTCCCCTGCCTAACCCCACTGCTATTTCATTTTCCTCCTTTCTTGTATTTTTGCCAAACTCCGTTCGCCCATTTATGCAGTACGTTGTATGAAAATGTAACATGATCTCTATTTTATGGATAAAAACGCATTGTTTATCCTCGCACCTTTTTGTTCTCGCCTTAACAGACAATTAATGGACTCCAATGGGACCCCTGCCAATAACTTTGCGTTCTTTGCGATAAATTGATGATTGCCACGTAAGGGGTGAAATTGATAGTCCTGTTTGTATGCTTTTTGTCTATTTTAATTTTACCATAAATAGTATTACCATTTTTTATTTAACATGTATCTTTAACATATAAATTAAAAATATATTAAATATATTTTTATTATAAATTTATATTAAAAATAAAAATTAAACGGTTCATTTATTTATTATTTAATTAAATATATTTAATATTAAAATTAATATCAATTTTTATATTTTTTATATATATTTATTTCTTAAGTACAAATAAAAAAACCTTTTTTTTTTTTTACTTACACATCAATGTGTGGTCAAGTTTTTTGTTTATGTATTTTTTTACAGATTTTGAGATTAGTTTGTCCTAGAATTAAAGGCACACTCGCTTTGGTGAACATAATAAAATTGAATCTGAATTTATAAGATAATAATTATTTATAGTAAATTCAATTCAAAAGTTAAAAAATACTTCCATATAAAATAGATTAAATTTTTAATTTGGTCTTTTAACTATTTTATAAGCCTTTAAATTGATTCCTAAACTAAAAATATCCCCAATTTAATCCTTAAATTTTTAAATTTAACTTCAAATTAATCATTTTATTAAAAAACAACTAACATGTTTGTTATTTGATAGCAAAAGACTGTTGCTTGATTGTTACATGTTACATTAGTAATGAGATACATTGCTTTTTTTTTTTTTTTTTCTTATTAAAAGACCAACTTACAGCTAAATTTAAAAAGTTTAGGGGATCAAATTAAATATTTTTTTTTCAGGGACTAACTCAAAAGTTTTAATAATAATTGAGGGATTAAATTGAAAATTTAACTTATAAAATATGTAGCATTTTCATCCAATAAATTACCACAATTGCCTTATAAAATATAAAATAAATTGTCTAGCATATTTTTTGGGTTGCAGGCTGAATTATTTGATCAAGATTCCTGCACGCTCGTACCTCCATGATGCACGCAACAAGGAAAAAAGGTAAACGCAACCTGTCCACTATGTTCATGCTTGAACACCACCACCACCTCTGCTGCCCCACTAAACTTTCTCAATTCATTTTAAGTTTTTAATTGTTGTAATTAAATGTATAATTATATATTTATTAAATTCCGAAACGCGACAGAGTATTTGATTAAATTATGTTAATAAATTCTCTACCTAAAAAGAAAAAAAAAATTAAGTAAACAAATTGGAATTAAGTAATTAACATACATACAGATAAGGTCACGGAGTGGAGGAGGCAAAGAGCGACTGAGGAATAGTCGATGATTGGGAAAAAGGCATTGACACGTCTTGACGGGAGCATGTGCGCAATGTCACGGTCGTGGGTGATCACATGGCAGCTGTTGCCATAGAAATGGATGTTGAATTAGAATATGCTTTTTCTGTTTTTAGTTGCCCATTTATCTCTCTAAATTGACCTTAATATATATATATATATATATATATCATGGTAACGCCTCTTTGGAATATGAGAAGTTGCCATCAGCCCAATGAGAGCATTCTCTATAGGTGACTGTTATTTGAAAGTTAAGTTGTTTATCATTGGATTTATAAGTTGGGTTATAAATAGATCGGGTTGTTTATGATTGAATTTATAAGTTGGGTTATAAATATATCGAGTTGAGTATTGAGATATTTAAATTTGAATTTTATTTATATTAAGTTGTTATAATTGTATTGTTATTTTTATTGATTTATTTTATTAATTTTTATTTTAAAAAATTAACTATAATTTATTACAACAACCATTAATTAAAAACATTTACGTGATATTTGTATTAAAAATGAAGTTGTAAATTAATAACAAAAAATACACATTCTTATTCATCAAATTTAAATAAAAGGTATGGTTAAAAAAATAAAAGCTATAATTTTATAGAGTTTGAAAGAGTTGTGCTTGAGGTAAGATTATTCATTGAATTCAAATAAAGGTAAGATTATTTGAGGATTGAGCGTTTGCTAGTTATATACACTAATACGCATGCATATGTACACAATTTCAACTGGGTTGGGGTAATAGACACACGTAAAAGTGTAAAGTTATACAAATTGTAATGTGTTATGTGTATTTGGTTTGAATGATATTTTATTAATATTGTAGTTTTTTTCTTAAGACAAATAGTTACTATAATATTTACAAACATTAAAGAATTTTTTACCTTATATTTTAAAGATATAAATAGAGGATATAATTATTATATATTTTCATAATTAATTTATATAAAAAAATAAAATTTAACTTAAATTTTATTAATTATTTAATTAAATAATTTTATGTAATATTAAAATTAAAAATAAAATTTATTTTTATATTATATATAAATTAATAATAAAAATATAATAAATACACTATTAATTTATTAAAAAAAAAAAACACTGAAACACTAATATCTATTCTTTCAGCTATTACCTATGGCCCATCACTACCCGTCAACTAATCAAAACCCTAATTTCAATCCAACAAAAGTAAAAAGTAATAACGATCACGGACCACCATAATTACCGACAAACGAGGGATTTTTCTGCAAGGCTCGGTCCCCATAACCGGCATGTGTTTAGCCTTAGGTGCCAGCTGGCGTTCTTAATTATAGAAAATAATTGAGGAAAATTTTTTTATATTACTGTTTATATAAATTTATGTATTATTTAAATAATTAATTAATTATTTATTTATTTAAAATTAATGATATTAAATTTATAAAAATATATTTATTTAATAATATTTAAAAAATATATTTAAAAAATTATCCTATATCAGATAATTGGAGTCAGTCAACGACTGGTAAATATGAAAATGAAGGAGGGCTTTTCAGTATTTTGATCCCGCCATTACTACTGCACACGACAAACTCATTTCCCTTCCTTCTCTGGCGTTGTCCTTTCTTCCTAGGGGTGGTGCCGAGGAAGCCCGTGCACGGAGCAGAGACAAACAAACAAACAGCACCGCAACACCGAGCGATTAAAGATAGAGAGAGAAAGAAAGCGGTTCTCAGCTCTTTCTTTCCGTCCAAATTCATCCAGAAATCGGTTCAGAGAAAAAAAGAAGTTCCTCTTCGTTTGCGCAAAGCAATGCCTGTTCGTCTCGGAATTCAATGCCTGTTCTTCTGTCTGATTTTGACGATTCTTTCTTGAAGATTACTACTAAAATTCAACCATTAAAAAGAAGGAAAAGGAGCACTACTGTGTAGCAGGTGAGTGTTTCGCTATCATTTCTGCATTTTCTTGTCCTTTTTCTCTTTTGATTCCTGAATCGCTGTGTACTTTTTCAGGTTTTCCACTGCCCTTTTTTTTAGCTGTATTTTGATTTTGCATTGTTTGTTTGCCTGATGCAGAGCTCGCCTGCATGCAGCCTTTCTTAGTTTTTCTTTTTCATTTTAAAATTTTTTTTATCTATAATTTTCTTGCTTCGTCTTGAGGAGTTCAATCAAATGATATGAGTACTGTTTGCATTTTTTCTCCATTTTTTATTTTTATTTTTATTTTTTAGCTTGAGAAAAGTCGACCAGGAGGCGTAATGGATGATCTTCAAGATTACTGCATCTTATCAACTGAATTTTTTTAGAAGCTGAAACGGCTGTTACACTGTTCTCGGCTCTGCAATTTTTGAGATCTCGAAAAAATGCCGTTTCTAGACAGATCCTGCAGTGTAGCTCTTGATCCGGCTTGAAACCACCGATTTTGTTTTGTAGTGCTTCATTCTCAATCTCAGTTACGAATCTTTGATTCTCCATGGAGTTAACAGTGGTTTTCTCCAGCATCAGAAGCATCTCTTCTGTTCTTTCCTGGAATTAGCTTTGGATTTTGTTGAACAATGCGGGTGGAGAAGTGTATTCTGTACATCCAAGTATTGTAATGCTGAGAATCTTGGTTTAGAGAGTTAAACGCACCTCAAAATCTCGCCATTTGGGCTTAATTTTGGCTCTGTTAGCTTTACTCTCGAAATTAAGGTCTGAATCACTGAAATAATTTGATTAATTACAAAAGAAGAACTGGATTAAAGTAATGAACGAGAGAATTCGTAATTTTTATGTGCAGGATTGACGTTGATTTTGAGAGGTGAGGATGGCTGCTGCATGGGAACATTTTGGAGAAATTGCAAATATAGCCCAGCTTGGGGGCCTTGATGCTGTGAAGTTAATTGGGCTGATAGTGAAAGCTGCAAGCACGGCACGGATGCACAAGAGGAACTGCCGGCAATTTGCACAGCATCTTAAGTTGATTGGGAACTTGCTTGAGCAGCTGAAGTTATCGGAGCTTAAGAAGTATCCAGAGACACGGGAGCCACTGGAGCAGCTGGAGGATGCGCTTAGGAGGTCTTTTATATTGGTCAATAGTTGCCAGGACAGAAGTTATCTCTATTTGCTTGCCATGGGGTGGAACATTGTCTATCAGTTCAGGAAGGCTCAAAATGAGATTGACCGGTATTTGAAGATTGTTCCTCTTATCACTTTGGTGGACAATGCTCGAGTCAGGGTATTGATTATTCTGGCAAAAAATTGCTCTTTCTCCTTTACATGACTGTTTTAACTGTTCTTGGTGTTAGATGATTTTGAATTATCAAAAGATTAGCATATGATTGAAGATCAGTAGCTTTTCTAAATGCTTGATGCAGAATTTTACATGTCTTCCTATTACTTAAAGCAATAAGTTCTCCTTTTTCTGCTTTGCTATTTGTTTGCATTGAGCTGGTTTTTATGATAGATTGATCTGTAATTTCTATCCATTGCCTTCTAATTACATTGGTCCATGTTTTCATTTGAAGTTCTAACTCACTGACTCATTATATTTTAACGTTTAGTATTGTCGCTTAGCTTAGAGGCAGTCAAGTAAGATATATTAATCAAGAAACCAATTCAAATCCAGTATAGCATGACAATGATCAAATGATGCCAAGTTACATTTAAGTCCTGCCATGTAAGGAAACAGGTGCAAATGCTGTTGTGCCTGATTTCTTCTTTGAAGTAATGTCATACATGCATTTGCAGCTTGATCACCTGGTTAATAATTGCAAAAATGCAAGCACTTTGTTTCTTTGCTTAAAACATCATTAGGATTGTAATTAGTTCTGATCTGATGTCAGCTTTCATCTTGAATACTGATTTCTTCTCAAATTTTACTTTGCATGCATTACTACTGATTTTTAGTTCTTCCATATGTGTAGGAGAGGCTGGAAGATATTGAGAAAGACCAACGCGAATACACACTGGATGATGAGGATAGAAAGGTGCAAGATGTTATCATGAAACCAGAACCCTCAAAAAATGATGCAAGCATTCTGAAAAAGACTCTTTCTTCTTCATATCCAAACTTGGGTTTTAATGCAGCACTACAAAAGGAAAATGAAAAGCTTCAACTAGAACTACAACGATCTGAAGCTAATTATGATGTGGGGCAATGTGAAGTAATTCAGCATTTGCTTGATGTGACGCAAGCTGTTGCTGCTGACACTTCTCCAGGAAAGAGTTCGCCCAGGAAAGAGTCCAAGAAAGGAGAGCATAAGTATACAGATTCCTATAGTGAAAATGATCATTCTTTCCATGAAAGCTCTCCTAAGAAAATTGATAGCCATACAACTTCCAGGTTAGTTTTCCTTTTATTTAACCATAGTTCGTTTAAGCATTTTCAGTCTCATTACTCAATGATACCAAGTTTTTATATATTACCATTGTTTTTGCCATGTAGCATTGAGCTGTAAGAGAGAACTATATACAGCAGAAAGGCATAATTAGTTCAAGTTTTGTATCAGAAAGAATGGAAGTTGCTGAAACTTTGTCCACTTTCATGATAAACACTAAAATCTTCAAAATTTGGATCTGTTTATAACTTCAAAATTAAATTCACATTTTTACTTAAAACTCTCAAAACAAATCGGAGTCAGTTTTTAGTTAGTTACCACATAATTCAGTATAATAGGTTTGGACTTTAGACTTTGGCCTTGGGTGGTTAGGCCAAGCCTTTAAAATGTAGCTGCTAGTTACTTGATGCACACTGCTAATGAGTTATACATCATGCAATGAATGGGGCAATGTTTCAATTTCTGTTAATGTATTAATGGCACTGTAAGCTCCCTGAAATGCATTTCAAGTCTGTGTTTCACTTTCATGTTCTTTTGATGGGGCTGGTGCTTGAAAGTCTTCTTCTTAATTTTTCTGCAGAAATACATCTCCAGTTTCATCAGGGAAAGATCTGCTGTCATATAGAGGTTCGCATGGAACTGAAGAATGGCACACTGATTTGCTTGAATGTTGTTCAGAACCTTCATTGTGTATGTCCTTTTATGATGTCACAATATATCTGTCTTCCAATTGACATGAGAGAACTATTTAAGATTGTTTAGTTCCTAGAGAAGGCCAGGATCCTTGTATCTCTTCAATTTTCCTTTCCCTTTTTTGAGAAACAGGAGTTAATATCTGTCAACTGACATTCCTTAATTTGTAATATTCTCTTTCTAAGCAAGCTGTGTTTTTATTTTAATCACACTGCAGGCATTAAGACATTCTTCTATCCTTGTGGGACTTTTTCAAAGATTGCTTCTGTGGCAACCAACAGGGACATATGTAAGTTGGTTAAATCATATTCTAACTTCTAGTCAGTCATAACTGTTTGCTTAATAATTGTTTAATGAGTTTGGACCAAATATATATTGACTGCGGTATTAACTTTTGCCTCATGTTTTGTCAGCTTCTGCAGAAGCGTGTAATGAATTGATGGCATATTCGCTGATATTATCATGCTGCTGTTATACTTGCTGCATTAGAGGGAAGCTCAGGAAGATGTTGAATATTACGGTATCTCCTCTACCATTGGAAAACCATGTTCCATTTATCCTGAAATCAATCCACTGTGTTATAAGTTCTCTCTTCTATGCCTGTTATATCAATGTTTGGATGCTGCTATCTTGGCCTCATTGCTAATGGTATAGATTATTTCTATGGCTTATCCTAATTGTGCGCCCAGTGCTCTCATATCCCTCTTCATGTTTGAACTTTGAATTCCACATGGCAAAAACATTTATGATTTAGCATAAGATAATCCCAAACTATTTGTCCTATTATTTCATCTTGTCCTTTCTTTTTTCCCTCCCTTCATCTATATCTCTTTTCATTCATCTTGGCTATCTGGATATTCTTGATATGAATGTCATTTGTCCTAATGATTAACTCTGATTAGCTTTTTGTAATCTAACCAAAATTTGGTCTCACACGTCACTAGGGCTACAGTATAGTCCTGGAGAGTAGGTTTTCATCTCAGTTTATATATTGGTTCACCTAAGAGACTGCTAAACTTTTTCTTTTACAGGGAGGATTTATTGATGATTTCCTATCCCATTTAATGTGTTGCTGCTGTGCTCTTGTCCAAGAATGGCGAGAAGTGGAGATCCGTGGGATTTCTGGTATTTTCCTACTTGATTGGATGATCCTTCCGTGATGCTTTTATAAATTTGGTTCTCCGCTAAGTTTAATTGTTGTTTTGTTGGGCTTTCAAACATGTATAGCATATAATAAAAATATTAAACAAACATCCAAAACCAACTTGCAGGTCCGGACAAGACAAAAACAAGCCCCCCAGCCATGCAATATATGGAATCATAAGAAGACAGACGAAAGGTTCATTCAGTTGTTTGGAGAATTAAATAGTTGAAAATAGAGGTAATGTGCAGTTGCCACTTTCATATTAAAGGACAGATGAAAGGTTCACTCAGTTGTTGGGAGAATTATGTTGTTAAATATGGTGGTCATGGCTAGTTTCCACTTTCATATCAAACCTAATAGTGGGGTTTTCTCCCATGAATTTACCATTTGTAAATTTATAGTTAGAGATTCAAAATATGTTGTATCATAGACTATAATTTTCAATAGTATAGTGGTTTTGGTTCAAATATTAGTTGGAGAATTTGGCCTTTTGCTGTTTGTGCCCAGGAGCATGGTTTAGGGGAAAAAAGTTGCAGAAAATAAATCGGTAGACGTTGGATTGGAATCAACCAGCATTCGTTTCAAGTATTTTCCAAAGAGCAATGATATCTAATCCCATGCAAATATTGGTACAAATCACATAGCCATGCCCTCAATTAAATTAGAGAAAGCTACATTACCTCGATCTCCATGTCTTGTTTCCAACTTCTCATTTTCTCAGTTTCCCATCCCTTCATCTTTTTCAATGGTGGATATCTTGATGCGGTAGCGCACTAGAATGATTCTTTAGCAAATTCACCCAGTATGTCATCCACATCCTTGATGACACAGATCCCACTTTTAAATTGTGAACTATTTCTTTCAAATCAACAAGGTTTCAACTAGGAATTCCTCCAATCCTTCTTTCCTTGATCAACTTTTTTTTATCCTTTCCACATTATTCCATTGACTGGCCACTGCATAAGATATTTTCAGTAGCAAATGCAATGCAACTGATAGTATGACAAATTTTTAGGTTCTTTTCTCCGTCAAAGATGTTGCAATTCTTTCCCCTAAAGGGAACATGAATTACGCAAGTTAGCAAGACCAGTGATTCCAACAGGAGATAAAGGGGAACCTTGTCAGCCCAGACAGGGTTTCGGACGTTGTGATAAAGTAGGCTTGGATTCGGAACAGATGGTTTATGTCTTGACATGGATTGAAAAGCAAAGGGCTTGACTAATAAAAGGATAAAGGAAAAGAAACAGAAGAAATAGAGTGGAAAAATTGTTGGGTTTTTAGGAGTAAAATGGGTGTGGTGAAGACGGTAATCTCGCCATTCATCTGGGACCTTTACTGTTCCTTCTCTCAGTCTCGTTTTTGTCTCTAATGAATTTGATATATAAAGGATGGGATCCCATGAAGGATGGGAAGATTCTTGACACGGATGATAAATCAGAAGATGATGGTGGTGCTGATTCTGCATGAATGAAGTGGGAAGAAAGTGGAGACACTGATTTGAGATTTAACTTGTGAAATGTTTGATACCATGTGCTAGGAGGAGGACCTTATGGGGCTCAAGTGGGTCTTTGAATTGTTGCCCCTGATGGTATGATTCATCTCCTTGTTCTATTGCAGTCGTTCACTTGAAAGCAAATAGAAAAGATGACAGTTATTTTTAGTTTTGAAACGATGTTCTATCTTCTCTTCCACAAGGGCAGTAGGAGTCATTTGTTTTGGATGTTCTATTTTATCTAATGAGCACAACTACTCTTCATCTTCATCTTGCAATGTTATTTTCCTTTCATCTTCATTACCATTATACCCCATAAGTGGGTATGGGCAAACAGTATTGAAATTACTTTATTAATGAGGGATCACTTTGGCTTCTATGATCTACGGTCTCTCAGTCTCCTGTCATTCTTGCTTTGCTTCAAAGCATGACTCTCCAGACTACTTTAATTTATAGAATTGTGCTATGCCATGAAATATTTAGGAAAGAGTGCATTTTCATCATCATTTGGGGACACTTGCCCGTAATTTCCATGATGTTTCACCTGCCATTATTGGTGTTGAAGACTTTCGTATCTTCATGACAAATCATGCCTCTGTTCTTGAAAGGAGTTGAAGTCATCAGTGTCTATAGAATTGAGTATCACTCCTTTAAATCAATGGATTATTTGGTTTTGTTGAAGAAACCCATATTCTTGACAAAAATTTGATCAAAACCTCCATTGTTGTGGCATAGAGGGTTTAGATCATCAAATGATATCTTCCAGTGAAAAGTGATTTAAATGACCCAAAAGGGGAAAAACAAGATCTGAATTCCACTTGAAGACTTCTTGGCATAGAGAGCAGCCCAATGGATGAAGCTTGGTATTAGTTATCTTCCCAGTTACAGCCAAAATCATAAAAGAAAGAAAAAGGTCAAAGGTTGCAGTCTTGTGTAGGTACAACCGCCTTGTTAGTCACTCAAAATCTGCCCTCCCAATCTAACAACTCTTTGAAACCAAGCAAACCAAGTACTTAGCAAGAGGAGGGCTACTCCTTTTTTCACACCCTTTTCTACAACTAAAGTTCCCTCTTATTAAAGATCTAATGACTGCATTAATCCTCAGCCTAAGCCAATGGTCCTCAAAAAGTTAGTCAGGTTCATCTATAACTTGATCGGTCTTAGAGCACAGGCAAGAATAAAAGATGCAGTGCCAACCTATGTGGTGGTCAGGCCAGTCTCAGAGATGGTTGAGGAAGGTGCATTGAGCTCTCCTGCAGAATCAAGCTCTAGTGAAGCTTTAGAGGGAGAAATATGTTGTGTGTGCCTGTCAAAACTGAAGAAAGGGGAGGAGACGCGTGTTCTTCCTTGCTTCCACAAGTTTCACCGTGCTTGTGTGGATAAATGGCTAGATGGGTGCAGGAAGACCTGCCCAGTGTGTCGGTTTTTGGTACAAGAAGGAGAGAGATTCAACAGAGGGGAAGATCTGACAGAGGAGATGATGATATGGTTTTCATCTTTCCATGTTGCTGGATTCTAAATTCTCACACATGGTAATTTAGGCCGTTAGAATAATACTTGTAGTTCATATAAGCAATTAGAGCAAAATAAAAATCAAATGTAACAAAAGTTAATTGATGGCTCTTTTTGCCAGAACATTGCTCGTATTACTAAACTCATAAAACTCCAAAACCAAGAGTTAAAAAAACAATTACGTAACCACTACCATATCTCTCCAGTGATAGACATAATTAGGGGAACCAACAAGTTAAGAATTTAGCCAAATTGGTCTCCATTAACTAAAAAGCGTTGATTTAAGGTCAAGTTTAATATTCAAATCTCTGTAATGCTAAACAACTAACTTTTGATATACTGAAAGCCATAACAAGAGAAAGGGTGAAGATATTAGACTACAGGAGGGAGCTCAACCTCAAGCTTTGGGAAGCATGGACAGCTCCGAGCTTTGTGAAGACACTGATTGAATGAAAAGGGAAGAGTGAAGCAGCTAGCAGCGGCATCTCAAGGAGGGTGTCTATGCTCTATTTGCTAAGACTTGAAGCTGCAGTACTTTGAAAAAGAAAAA